TTCCCTCGGGTTCCCTCCCCCCTCCCTCTGTCCTCATCAGGAGAGGGGACGGGGAGGGGCTCATACACGGGGGCGGAGGGCGAAAGCTCAGGCCCACAGTCAGGGCCAGGTCACGGCCGAGGGCAGGTGGCGGTCAGGACCCACTCAGCTTCGCGGGCTGTGGGCGTCCCTTGGGGACGGGCCTTGCGTCACCGGGCTGGCTCCTTCGCGCCCTCTTCCCAGGGCCGCGTTCCTCTTTGCCGGCCAGCGGCACCCTCCAGCGCAGGCCTGGGTCACCCGCAGTCCGGGGCCAGCCAGCTGCGGCCCCAGTCTTCCTCCCCACCCCAGTCTTCCTCGGTGCGTCCCGGGTGCTGCACGCGCTCCAGCCGTCCTCACAGGTGGTGCGGGGGGAGGACGGGAGTACACCGCATCTGGAACCCGTGTCGGCTTCCTGCCTTCCTGAACTGGGAAGGTGGTTTTCACTCCCAGGCCCCCAGGGCGACACGCAGTCCCAGTCTGAACTGCCCTGTGCAGGGTTGGGAAGAACGAGTGAGCCATCAAGGTCCCTGTTGCCTTGGGGACCTACAGGAATGAACACCAGCCAGACCCACTGCTAAGAGCCCATAAGACAGCCCCTCCAGCCCCCGTGTCCTCCCTACTAACCTGAGCCCTGTTCATCCAGGGGCTCCTAGGACCCTGCACAGAGGGTGAGCAGGAAAAGGGTTTAATCTAATTTACAACGACTGCCAGGTCATCCAAGGCCATGGAGGAAGTGTTTGCTAGCCCAGGGGGACAGGTATCTCCCAGCATCTGACACAGATGTGGGCACAGTGGGGCACGAGAGGGGCATGGGACAGGTCTGTCCCTGGGGCCACACGCAGGCCACCCGTGGAAAGCAGAGCACAAACAGGAAAAAGAGTGCCGTGCTTCTCTGCAGCACCTGGTATGATACTCAGTACATGCACTTCCTGCCATGCACAGCAACTCGTCCTGCCCCGGTCTCTGTCAGCCACCGTGTCCGTCAGTACTGCCCCGCACGGCATCTAGTCCCCCTCATTAAATCCCAGGGCCTGCCCAGGGGGCCTCTGTCCAAGGCAGCCACAATGCCACTCACTTAAGCGGTGTCTCAGACAAGTGTGTGGTGCAGGTTTGGGAGAGGGGAACCAGACCTATAAAAACTAACTACTGAGTAGCAGAGTAAAACCACACTATCACAATGGTAGGGGACCAGGTGGAGGGGTGTGTGTCCATGTGCTCAAGGAATTCTCAGTCTGACAAGTAGAGACACTGCAAGCAATTTTTATTTTTTAAATATTTTTTAACATTTATTTATGTTTGAGAGAAAGAGACAGAACGAGAGCGGGAGAGGAGAGAGAGAGGGAGACACAGAATCGGAAGCAGGCTCCAGACTGCATACTGTCAGCACAGAGCCCGACGCAGGGCTCAAACCCATGAACCTTGAGAAACCCATGAACCTGAGCCAAAGTTGGATGCTTAACCCACTGAGCCACCCAGGTGCCCTGCAAGCAATTTTTAAATCTGGTAGTCATAAAGAGGTGAGAATGGAGGTAAATTGTGTATGTGCATGTGTATATTGTGGGTACGTGTGTATCTGCACAGGTGTGTATATGCATGTGTGTACACATGCATGTGTGTAGGCATATGTGTGTGCATGTATGTATCTGCACAGCTGTGTGTGCATGCATGTGCACATGTGTGTGTATGCATAGATATGTGCTTGTGTATGTGTGTACATGTGTATCTGCACAGGTGGGTGTGCATGTATATGTGCGTGTATGTGTGTGCATGCATGTGTGCGTGTATATGTGTGTTTGCAGAGGGGTCTGTATAGGTGATTTTGAAAAAAAAGAACATAACTAGCGTTCATATTATAATCCAGAATCCATTATGTTTTCCCTTTTTGTCTTTTTCTGCTTGAACAGAAACTGCATTTTTTTTTTACAAACAAAAAGTCGTGCTGAGTCATTCTGATCCCAGTACCCCCAGGGCCCCTCTGCTGCCTGGCCTCCTTCCATCCTTGGGAAAAACCCAGTGGGTGCCATCTTCACCACGATGTATGTCACACCCCATGACAGTGAGTCTCACCAGGCTGTGGCCAGGGTCACAGATGCCCAAGTGCCAGGCACCCTGCGGCAGGGGTCCAGGCCGGTGTCTGAAGACCCCTTGGCAGCTATGGTGTGGGACAAGAGGAGCGGCAATGAAGGCATCTCTGCAGGGGAACCTCATCGGCCTAGTGTGGGCAGCCCCCAAGACAGAGACAAGCCTGCAGGCTAACTAGATCCCTGACGGCCCCCAAGACCCGTGTCAGGGCCAGCCCCACGGTCCAGGCTGGAGCTGGGGGAAGGGCCTCACGTGTGGGGGACAGCCAGCCCCCTGGGAGGGTGCCAGGTTGGGGGACTGGGACTGGAAGACCACCCACAGCAGAGATCCCCCGAGACTGTGAAGAAACCACCGGCAGGCACTGACCCTTCCCCCACCCGCCACCGCCGGGACCCCCAGGAGAGCTGGGGGAGGGATGTCCCACAGGAGGTCGCAATTTCCACAGGCACTGGGCGTCCTAAATTAGCGCCTTGAGACCACTGTTCAAGTGTGTGCAGGGTCGCCTGTAGGTAGGGGAGCAGGGAGCAGGGGCACTGAGGCCAGCTTGAGTTTTATGGGCTCGGGAAAGACCTCTTCCGATGACAGAGAGACCGCTGAAGTCACAACTATGCCTGACCTGCTGATTCAGAGGAATTGTTACTTACACATGAAGCATTTCAGCAACAGGCGCCAGATCACAAACTGGATAATTTGGGACACGCACTAAAAACAGTATTTGCTGTTCATCTGAAATTCAAATGCATCCGATGTCCTGTGTTTTATCTGACCATCTGGCCATCAGACGCAGGCAAATGGGCCCCCCTGGCAGACGCCAAGGGGCTTCAGGCCAGGCCTCCATCCACACAGCTGCTGGAATCACTCTTTGTTCAGGGCCATGAGAACCTAGAACTGATTAAATGGGTTTATAAAAGCCAGAAACAGGTCCTTGTTGCACCACAAGGCAGTGCAGTGACACATATGGCCATTACCTAGCCCACGTGCACCTTTCTGGAAAACAAAGCAAGACTGGGTGAGGGTGATTTGCCCGCCGACAGCCCCATGTCCCTGGTCCTGGGCGCCTGCAGAGATGCTCCAGGTCACACACCAGAAAGCGCTGGGCGTCTCTTCAGGCCCTTCCAGAACAGTTTTTGCCTCTGGCAGGCCACATGCACAGCCAGGAGAGAAGGATCTTTCTGGTCCAAGGGTGCTTTAAAGGCAGAGGCTTCATGTCATACGGTCCTCGGAAGCACAGGCCGGATTTTCTCCACCACCTGGCTGGCCTCTGCACGGCCACACACGACACGGCCCTGTGCCAGGCAGGCGTGGGGGCCAGAGTGGCAACCCTCCAGAGCTGTTGGCTGCAGGACCCACTGGTCCCCTGAGGGCAGAGAGCAGAGGACTGCACAAGGACTTCTGCAGGCAACAACCCCCCCAGCACTCAGTGTTGACAGTCTGAGGGTAGGAGCACCCCAACACAGGGTTGACAGTCTGAGGGTGGGAGTTACTTGAACACAAGGATGACAGTCTGAGGGCAGGGATGCCCCAATATACTTGGGATTGACGGTCTGAGGATGGGGGCACCCCCTGAGGGTGGGGGTTCCCCAAACACTCGAGGATGATAGTCTGAGGGCAGAGATGCCCCAAATACTCAGTGTTGACAGTCTGAGGACAGGGGCACCCCTGAATACTTGGTGTTGATAGTCTGAGGGCGGGGGTGCCCCAAACACTTGGTGTTGATAGTCTGAGGGTGGCAGTTCCCTGAACACTCAAGGATGACAGATCGAGGGCAGGGGTGCCCCAAACACTCGGTGTTAACAGTCTAAGGGCGGGGGCGCCCCAACACAGGGTTGAGAGTCTGAGGGTGGGGGTTCCCCAAACACTTGAGGATGACAGCCCGAGGGCAGGGGTTCCCCAAACACTCAGGGATGACAGTCTGAGGGCAAGGGGGCCCCTGAACACTTGGTGTTGACAGTCTGAGGGTGGGGGCACCCCAATACTCAGGGTGGACTCTCATGAGGTAGCTGGGAAAGGAAGCAGTGACCCCAGGACATGTGCTAAAACTAGGTAGGACTCCCTCTTTTGCAGCCCCTGGCAGGACCCAACGTCAGCCCCACTCGACAGGTAAATGCTGTGGTGTCTTCTGACACTCCCAGGGGGAGTCTTCCCACGTGACCCCCACACGCAATCCGGCATCTCACAGCCACGTCATGTGGCTCTCTGCATGGACCAGCATGTGACACAGTGTATGAGTTGCAAGGACTCAGAAGTTATTTCCTAAGGAAAAGTAGACCCTTCTGGAAACTTCAGGCCCTAAATCTCAGCTCCTCCCCAGGGGCTCGGCCCCACCTGAGCCCCCTGGGCAGTCTCGGGTTCCAAGGCCAATGCCACCAAATCCCAGCCCAGGAGTGAACATCATCTGGAGGCCACTACAAAGACTGTTCTTCCAGGCAGGACGCACGTGGGGATTCTTGGGGTTAAAGGTGAAGCTGGAAACATGGACACAGTGAACACGGGGCCACAGGCCAGAAGGAGGGCATACTTGTGCTCGTAAGGGTTAGGACCCCAAAACTCCAGTGCTGTTGCCTCTGGGGATTCCGACAGGGTCTGGCCCTAGCCATCAGCCAGAAAACCCCATGTTGCAAGACCAGCTGGCCCCAAGCTTGCCCAGGACGGGAGCACGGGAAAGGGCTTTGCCAGGAGGCAGAGTCCGGTGGTAAGCTGTTGCTTGGGCCGGAGAACGGCACACCCAGATGCCATCGGCTGGAGATGTTCTCAGGACACAGAGAAGCTGAGGGGGAGGCTGCTGCCGTCGCCTTCATCCCCAGAGCCCCCGTCTTCCCTCCTCTGGGACACTGGGCCACAGCCTGGGTGACGCAAGCCCTGGGAGACTGCGCCCCCAGCGCCTGGCAGATGTCAGCATGTCCAACATGTAGGTGGTGGGTATCTCAGGCCCTGGCAGCAGGCAGGTGGCAGGGGGCACAGTCTGGGCATGAAGGGGGGCACCAGGCCTCTCCACTGGTGTCCGTGAGCCTGCGGGCCATGCTCTGCCAACTCCTGAGCCAACAAGGAGAATGCCTCCCACCTGGGAAGGTGCAGTTAAGGTGCAGGAAACATATACCAAAACGCCAAGCAATGCTTTGCCCGGACGGCTGACCCGGTTGCCGGCGGGGACGTCCACAAGAGCCCTCGAGTGGGACGTGCCATCTGAGAACCACGGTTGTGTCTCTGAGTGAAATGGGGCAGAAGAAGCAGACTATTTACGGGCTGGGCTCCTGAGCTGGGCCGGGACATCTGGCCACTCCTTGCCTTTCTCTGGTGGCTCACAGAGGCCTTCTTGCCCCTGCACACCTAGGAAACCAGACACATCCCGGACTTGGACGTGGGGGCTGCCTCCTCCACGGCGACCCCCTTCATGTCGTCAGGCATCTGCCCGTCAGAGCGCCAGACGTTCAGCTCCGCGAACACGCCCGTCTCGATCATCTCCTCCTGCCAGGGAATGGGGCAGTTGCCGGTCGCGAACTCCTGGAAGAACTCGGTATCGGCTTTGTCGAAGGCCACGCCCTTGACCGTGGAGAAGGCGCCCACGTCCTGGATGTTCTTGGCATAGACTGTCCTGGAGTCTGGGACGAAGGGGGGTGTCAGCATCCCTGTGAGGAGACAGAAAACAGGGATGGGAAATGCCGAAAACAGAAGGAAACGGCCGTGTGCTCAGTGAGCAGGGCTGCCCTTCCAGGGTGTCCGAAGGCTCAGGACGGGTGTCCGGGTGCCGCACAGCACGCTGGGCGGGTATGAGGGTCTTAGCATCCAGGCAGGCGAAGGAACAGCCTGCTCTGGTCTGTGTCCTCACACCTGCCTCCCAGGGGGCTTCCTTGTCTGCAGGTGCAACACCTCGAACCCAGCACAGTCAGGCTGAGCATCTCGATCTCTTTCCAAAGCCGGCTTGTCTCCCAGCTCGCTCGGGAGCCAAAGTCCTTCAGTCACCAATATACAACACTAGCCATGTGACCCCCGTGGCCGCACCACCCGCCCTTCCCTTCAGTGTGGGCCCCAGGCTGAGCCACCTGCTAGACCGGTGGCATGGCCTGCGGACCCCCCCCCCCCCCCCCGCCGCCCAGGCCCCAGATCTCCTGGCTCCCATCTTCCCTACACCAGCACCACCATCCAGCCACAGAGCCCCCTCCCTGCAAAAGCAACTCCTCTCCTTTGGGCATCTGACGCTTGGGGCTCCCGTAGGGAGTCGCAGCTCACACGCCCTACCGTAGGCTCAGGGCTGGGGCTGCGTCTGCACACGCTCACCTACACGTGTGTCCCACAAGGGACACCTGACAACACAGACTGACTGAAGGAACGAGGTTCTCCCAAGACGACGGCTTGAGGGATCCTGCCTTGTCTTGGATCAGGGGCTCCTTGAAAGTACAGGGTGTGGAAACCCACAAGCACAGGTGTGGATCTTCAGTTCAAAGGTGGGCAGCACCCCAAGCATCCCACCCAACACCAGCCCGAGAAACCTCTGTGTGGACAGAGAAGTGGGGACGGTGGGTTAGTTGGGGACAGGAGGCCACGGGGCATCTCTGCTGGCATCACCGCAGAGCTCAGGAGGTGCCAACAGGGCAGGCAGAGCAAGCAAGGACCTCCCGCCGGACCTGCCCCCTGCGGCCCCCCAGATCCAAAGGCGAGAGGACAGTACCGGCCTCCAGCTGTCTCCAGTTAATGTCCTTAAAGAGGGGGTTGGCGCGGAGCCCGTCACAGTTCCCGTCTCTGAACCCCAGGCGCTTCTCAGGGTCCTTCTCCAGCAGCGCCTCGCAGAAGTCCTTGCTGGCCTGGCTGAACTTGTCCGAGTACTTGACGGGCTCGGAGAGGACCCTCTGTCTGAGCTCCTTGTTCTCTACCTGCACAGGGGATGTGCCACGTCACGTCAGGCCCGAGGAGCCCATGCAGGCCAGCATACCGCCCAGGAAGACACCAGCCCAAGGTAATGGCTGACCCTGCGTGTGTGGTCCCTGGGCCCCCCAACGGTGTTGGTCAAGGTTGGGGCGCTCTGGTTGATGCTGCGGTGCCTCTACATAACCATTCCTTACCCACTGTGAAAATGAGAAAGGTAAGAGAAAGAGCCAACTTTGCAGACAGAGCTGGCAGAGACCTCCTGACTGGGTGGAAACTGAGGGCGAGTTTGAATCCACTTTATGGAGTATAGTTTCCACACCACAGGACCCCATTCCCAGTGACCAGGGGGCCCTACGATGACCCCAGATGCGCCCTGTGCCCTTTGCAGCCCGTCTCCCCTCCCAGCTCGGCAAACGCTGGCCGTGTGCTCTCACCACACGTTAGATCCGCCTTCCTAACACTGTGCAGACACAGGCTTACTCTTCATTTGCCATCGCAGGTCTGACGCCCAGCCGGCCACGGGCCGTGGGACACACGGTGGGCCACCGTGCGCCCACCGCACACTCTGTGCCTGACTCGTCAGTCTCGCACACACGGAAAACAGGGCCTCTGGTCAGGGCCGTGGGGTCAGTGAGAGCTCTGTGCTGGGGCCCCCGCTTTGTGCGGATCCCACAGCACTGGCTCTTCTGCGTGGTTGCAAGTCAGGAGAGAAAACGAGTTAGTAGCGATCAGGGCGGCCGTGCAGAGCCACAGAGCGGCCGGCTGTGTTAGCTGTGCGAGGACTCTGCTCCTGGAAGACTGGGTGTCTCAGGACCAGGGTGACCTGGGGACGGACACGTTCGGGACCCCGGCAGAAGAAAGTGAAGGGCGTGACCTCCAGGCAGGCACGGGGCCGCCTAAATACTGCTGTTCCCACCAGGCCCTGGAGACGCCTCCTGCCCGCCCTGCCTCCTCAGCCCCGGCTCCCCGCGTGCCCAGCGGCCCACCCGCCAGAAGAGGCCGGGTTTCGAGCAGGCGGCGAGGCCCCCAGATACCATCTATGGGGGACGCTGCAGTGTTTACAAATGGCAGCAGACTTGCTGGCACCACTTCCCCAGCAGCATTCGCTCCTACACGTCTCTGTGACATTTTGGTGATTCTCACAGTATTTCAAACATTTTCATTATTGTTTTATTTGCTATGGTGATCAGTGATCACAACCTGCTGAGCTCCCAGTTAGCTGTAAGTATTTGTTAACTAAGCCACGTGGACTGTTTTGGACGGAAAGCCACTGAACACTCAGCAGCCTGTAGCGTGTGGACATGTGACCTTTACACACACTGGGAAACCAGAAAGTTCATTTGACTTGCTTTACTGTGGCATCTGCTGTGTCATGGTGGTCTGAGCTAGACCCCGGGTGTCACTGAGGTGAGCTTGTGTTTGTGGTTTGGGTGGGTTGGGGTAACAGCACCCTGCAGACTCTGGGGCAGATGGTGCAGGAGAGAGCGTGGGGGGCCAGGGGCAGGGCACAGAGACGCGAGGCCCACTGCCCTCTATTCAGAAAGGTTGCAGTGCTGGAGGGGGCGACAGTGAGCTCGCTGGTCTGCTGTGGAAGGCAGGGAGGGACGAGGCCGCACCCCATCCCTTTTAGACCAGCTTGGCCCCAGGTGGGCTGAGTGCTGCCCGTGGGGAGGGGGATTGGGGAGGCCCAGGCACGGCTGGTCCTGAGACACGTCTCGGTGTGGGGAGCTCCATGACACGAGGCCACCACGTCCCCTGCCCTGCCCACGAGAAGCCTAGTGCCCAAGATCTGAACAGCACCTCCCCCCGCCACAAGCAGGGTCACCGTGGGGCAGCTGCAGGACACCTGCTCCTACGACCCCCCACGAGTGACGAGTGGACCATCACAGGATGACAGAGTGACCTCCTACCTTCTCCCCGCGGGCACGGAAGGGTCCTCTGGCCGCGATCATCTCGTACAGTGTGACCCCCAGGGCAAAGTAATCCACAGAAAAGTCGTACTCCTCACCCTGCAAGAGCTCAGGGGCCATGAAACCTGCCGGGCAACAGCGCAGACTCAGACTCAGCACGTGGTGGCAATCACTCACCCGGCCCCAGTGGGCACGGAACTGATGTCCCACGTGCACGACCACAGGCTTCACACGCAGACCTTCCCTTCCGGGCTGCATGTGCAACAGCACTCCCGGCCCACGGCCAGTAAGTAGTTAGAGCCCCCAGGTGTCACAACCCAAACTCTCTGGACACTGCCAAGTGTCCCCTCCCGGCAGAACTGCCCCTGCTTGAGAACCACTGCCGTCCACATCACGTGAGCTGTGAGGCCCCATCTTCCCTGTGGCACACCACAGCAGATGAGCAGAGTGATGGTCCCTCAGAACCACAGCAGACAGAGTGATTGGTCCCTGAGACCACAGCAGAGTGATGATCCCTGAACACAGCAGACAGAGAGGCGGTCCCTGAGATCACAGCAGACAGACAGAGAGGTGGTCCCAGAGACCATAGCACACAGACAGTAACAGTCCTCGCTTGCCACTCAGGTACAAGTGTGACCTGTGGAGTGGTGGGTGTGTGTGGTCAGAGATAGGCACTACCCGTTGATTCTGGAAAAGGGCACAAAAGGACAGAGTGAGGCCCAGATGTTCCAAATCCAGATGCCTACCACTGCCCCACCTGTTCCCATGTCAGGTCAGCCACATTTGGGAAGTTGGGGCCACGTGGGGGAGCCCCACAGTGTGAAGGTCCACATCCCTGAAAGCAAGCTCTGGGCCTCCACTCCCTACCTGCCACTGTACGGAAGCCAGCTAGCACATGGGAAGGGTGGACAGGCCAGTTTCTGGGACCCACGGTCCACTCCCCGGGGACCAGGGGTCGGTGCTATGGTCTAGGTGCAGGTGGCTTCTGTTCCTGACCGCTTCAGACATTCCAAGGGAAGCAAAGCTAATGTGTCTGTTGATTTCCTGTCCCTCCAGGCCCTCAGTATACCCTGTTCGTGGCCAGGTTCCAATAGGTGGTGTGCTCAGCAAGGCGGCCAAGCTGATATGACCAGAGATTCACCTGTTCCTGACAGGTTACAGGAGTCAAATCCCACAGACCCTCCGGGACCTGACACCCCTTAACCCCTTTGTAGGTCCTGCTTTTCAGGAACTGAAAAGACTCCAGACTGCTCAAATGCTGTAAGAAAGATGTGTTTCACTGGCCACAACTTCTAGGTTGAAACAAGGTCTAGGAGAAAGGCCAGCCAGGCCACAGGGAGAGGATCAATTTCTGAGCAAACACCCCAGTGGTGCCTCTGCTCTGCTTCCCAACTTGGTCTGGGTGACACATCGTTTTGTATCCCCAGGACCTACGTGGCATCCGGGAAAGAGCAAGCACGAGTGAACATTTGTCACCTGAATGCACAGGTGAGTGAGTGAGTGAGTGAGTGAGTGAGTGAATGAGTGAGTGAGTGGGCAAATGAATGAATGAATGAATGAATGAATGAGTGAACACTCCACTGTCTAGTAACTAATTCTTCCCCGCGTTGACCCAGCCCCGCGTCCATGGGGTCGGAGGGCACGCTCACATCTCCTCCACGCAGAGGTCACAGCCTGCTGACTGCGGCCATAGCAGGCAGGGTGCAGAGTGGCTGCTGGGGAGGACCCAGCAGGCGTCACCCCAAGCTCCACGGTAACCTCTGCTGGGCCTTTTTGTGGGTCACACCCTGCCCCTGCCCCCAAAGGCACAGAAGACGAGACCCTCTGCTCAGAGAAGGGCCGCGGCCACAGGAAAGCCTGCGGGGCCCTCTGCTGGTCGGTGGGGCCCTCACACATGGGCCTGGATACCACCAGGGCCTGGAGTCAGACCACTTGGAATCCAGCCTGCGGTGCCTTATTCTCCACAGCCTTCTCCTAACGATTTGAATCACCCCAAAATATGTGGGGTGTTTCCACTCACACACTCACACTCAGGGCTGGAACTTCATAGACTCTGGCCAAGGACCTGGAAAACTCAAGATAGGACCTTCCCTAAACAAAGCCACAGGTGAGGACAGACCCACCGTGGCAGCTCCTCCCCAAAGCCAGATCAACCCAGGACAGGATCTGCTGAGGGTCCCTGGACCTTCCGGGACAGGGTGGGGCAGGGGGCTGACCCTCAGGTGCCCCTGGCCTGCCGGCACTGAGCTCCCCCTGCAGCTTGGGCAGCTGTGCTATGCCCGCCCCGCCCCTGTTCCCCTGTTCCCAGGGTCTCCTGGGTTCTCTGCAGGCCTGGGCTGGGGGACGTGGGGGAGCAGCAGAACATGTTGTGCACTGCACACACATACACACGCGCACACAGTGCACACACACTCATACACAAGCAAACACGGACACACGTGTGCGTGCGCACATACACAGCCGCGCACACACACAGGACGAGGGCAGCCCCCTCCCCTGAGGCCACCCCGCCTGCCTCACACCCTACCCAAGGCTCCCTTGGACAGCGAAGGCCCTGGCCACACTGCGGTGGGGGCTGGGTACCCCTCGGGGCTCTCCCAGGCTGCCCGCCTCGGTGGGGGTGCAGCCGGTGATCCACTGAGCGCAGACCCTCAGGGCTCCAGCCAACATGGTCGGGCTCCCCTCCAGACAAACACATTCCGCTGATGTACGGAAAGCCACTGAAGGCAGAAGCTTCTATCTCAGAGGGTGTGACACGTCCGGACCAGCAGGCAGGAGGGGTCATCCCTGCGGTGGGTGCAGCTCTCGAGCTGCCGGGCGTGCCTGCTGGCCAGGCCCTGTGGTTTTGCTATTCACTATGACAGATGAGGGCCCCCACAAACCCCTAGGGCCTCAGCCCCCACCCTCGCCCTCAGGTGCTAACCTGGGGTTCCTGCATAGCCCTTGGTCTTGGTCTGTCCGTCCTTCAGCTCCACGGCCAGCCCAAGGTCAGATATTCGGATATTACCTGAAAGCAAACATGGACTGAGGTCACACGCAGCTCCACAGAACAAAGGCGCCTGGTGTTCCCAAGCCTGCAGGAGCCAAGGGCAGCCTCTGCCCACATGCGCACACACACACACAAGGGCACACGTGCGCCCACGGGCACACACTCTCAGCACGGGCCCACCCCAGGGCACCGAGGCCAGACTGCAGGGGCCCCAGCAGATCTGCGGCTGTGAGTGGGGGCACAATCCACCCAAACCCCATTTTGAGAATGTCCACGTTTGCATGACTTGGTGACACAAAGGGAGGGTATACAAGGGACATGAAGGAAACCTAGATCTCAATGTCACTTTCTGATGACAATCCCATAAAAGGCAGAACGAGTGACAGACCGAGGATTTAAGATCAGGAACAAAATGTTAACCCTTCACCAGGAGTTCCACAGTTAACTCCTGAGTTAACTCCCTGTAATGCTTGGTGCCTAATTATGTACCAAATTTCAACTAAATCCATCAAAAACTTTAGAGACAATTGTGCAAAATGTGTGAAATGAACAACAAACTTAAGATGCCTTTGGTGCCGTTTAAAGTTATAACACTCATCAAAACCGGCCCATCTCCCTACCATTGACCTGTCCGGCCACAGAGGAGAGTCTGGCGAGGGGGGGTCTGGAGGGGAAGTCAGGAGGGAGATACTGGGAAGGGGGAGGGCGGGAGGGGAGGGAGGCCACCTCACCGTCATCATCCAGAAGTACGTTCTCAGGCTTGAGGTCTCGGTAGACGATGCCCCTCTGATGTAGGTGCTCCAGGCCGCTGACAATCTGGGCTATGTAGAACACGGCACGCGGCTCCTGGAAGCCAGGGCTCTCCTCGTTCACGTTGTAGATGTGGTATCTGGGGGCAGACCACGCAGATGCCCATGCTTCTCCAGCACAACAACGTGCCCCCAGTTTCCATAGGAAGTAAGATCTCAGGAAACAGTGAGAGCCTCAAAATCCTGTTTTGTGTCGGCAAAGTGGTCATTGTGGGGCCTCGGCACCAGCCCTAAGAGCCTGCAGTGCCACCGCCATGGGGAAGGGCAGACAGAAGAGTGCACGGCTGTCCCTGCCTCCCCCACACTGGCCTGCAAAGCTGGAAATGGACGCCAAAGCCATCTCACCCGTGCCAGCCAAGGGAGGAAGGGCAGAGGGCGGTGAAGGAAGCCTGTGTGAGCGGCCTGAGGACTCAATATGGCGCCCCGGCAAGCGTGGCAGCCACCTCACCAAGCCCACGCACGCAGACTCCTGGTGGGCCTGCGGGACAGTCTCCTTCCTGCCTCCCCCCTCCCCATCTTTCCATATCACGTCCTGCGCAGAAGCAAGACCTGACGACCTACCGATAAAAGGAAACAAACTATTTATACCAGATAGCAACCAGGGAGAGGCAGACTCAGAAAACAAGAGAGGAAACCCCACGTGAGCCAGACCATGAGAAAGCCAGGACAACAAACTAAATGGCGTTTACATTGCACTGGTATCATAATATAGTGTGGTGCACAGAGTAGTATAACGTAGTGTAGTGAAGTATAGTACAGAACAGCACGGCATCGAATAACGTAGCATAACGTAGCGTGACACAGCGTGACGTGTGTAGCATGATGTAGCGTGGGAGAGTTAAGCAAGCATAACGGAGTAACGGAGTATAATGTAGGATGGTGCGGTGTGGTGTGGTATTGTGTGGTGTGGTGTAATACAGTATGATGTGGTCGTGTACTGTGGAATATGCAGCATAGTACAGTGTAGCATAGTGTGGCACAGTAGAGTACGGTATGGTGTAGCATAGAGTAGTATAGTGGCGTAGAGAGCCGCACGGTGTAGTATGGTGTAGTGTAGTGTAGTGTAGAAGGTGTTGTGTGTAGTGTAGCGTAATACAGAGTAGCACAGTATGGCGTGGCATGTTATGGCACAGTGTGGTATACGGTAGTGTAGCAGAGAATGACATGGCAGTATAGTATAGTGTGGCATGGTGCGGTGCGGGATGGCGTAGTGCGATGTAGTATAGTATAATATAGAGCGGTGTAGTATGGCATATTATGGCATGGTGGGGCATAGTGTAGTATAGTACAGTGAGACGTATCATATCATGTAGCAGGTTGTGGTCTAATATACTGTGGTATAATATAGTCGAGTATAGCGTAGCACAGTATAATACCATGCAGTGTAGTTCAGTGTCATATAGAATGGTATGGCGTGTATCATACTACCGTGCAGTATGGGACAGTGTAGTATGGTGTAGTCTGGTCTAGTGTGGTTTAGTCTAGGGTAGAGGTGGGTCATTTAGTACGGCACAGTACAGTGTCACGTAGCGTGGTATGTTATGGGAGTCTAGCGCAGCGCAGTCTAGTACGGCAGAGTGTCGTAGTATGGTGTAGTGTGCTGTAGTGTAGTATGGTGTAGCGTGGTACAATAGCACATAGTGTGGGACGGTGCGGTGTAGTGCGGTACACAGCAGCGTAGTGTGATGCAATACAGTATAGTAGAGCAGCACAGCAAAGTAGAGGATGGTGTACTGTAATATAGTATAGCATAGGGTAGTATGGCATCGTATAGTACCGTGTGGAGTAGTACAGTGTGGCATAGTGTGGTAGGGTGTAGCACAGGACAACGTAGAGTAGTATAGTGTGGTGCGGGGTACTACGGCATAGCATAGGACAGCATAGCGTAGTATAGTGTAGCACAGGACAGCTGGTGTAACGTGGCGTAGGACGGTGTAGTAGAGGACGGTGTGGTGTGTCCAGTCCAGTCCAGTCCCATGTAGAGCAATGAGCTTAGGACAGTGCGATGTCATACAGTAGAGTGCAGTACAGCACAATGTCATGACCTTCTCTGCGCTTTCAGTCACGTTGCCTGTACTTCCTCTTCCGTGTGGCCTCACACGGGTTCCTTACTCAAGGCTCAGAATCCGCACCGGGGAAATGCGGCCGGCAAACACCTGACGAATCCAGCAGGAAGAATGAAGGCAGAGGGCTTGCAGGCAACACCAAGAGCGATGGTCCTGTTTGTGTGCCACGTGACTCTCCCGCAGGTGTGTGACAGTATTAACTTACTCCCCACAAGGCCCTGAGAACACTAGTGTTATTCCTCATCCCCGTTTTACAGACCAGCATGCTGAGGCAAGAGCGGGCAGGTTGCCCGACTTGCATCTGGGTCTTTCCCCGCCGAGGGCCAGTGGTCTGACTTCCCACGGGAGCCCAGAGCCAAGCGCAAGTCCAGGCACCAGACACGCTGAGAGCAAAGCCACAGCTCCTGAAGTCGGCCACGTCGTGTTTCCGTCTCTGCCGCCATCCCCAAGAGCAGGGCCCTCGCTCACCTTCCGTTCATCTGTCCCCCCAACGAGTGCTTGACCCACGGCACCTGTGCCCCACGCCCGCCGCCACACAAACCCCACGTCCACCGGCAACTAGAGAGCCGTGGGCCACCTCCCCACAGCCCCGCGTTTCACCGCTTGGAGAGTCGGCAACCAGGGGCCAGAGAGGAGCATGTTGATGGGGGGCAGGACTTCTCCTCGGGTGTTAGCATATTCTGTGCAGGTGGGACAGCCCCCAGGGCCCCAGGGCCCCTTCTCCAAGCCTGCCCCCTGCTTACCTCAGGTCGCCTCCGTTCATGATAGTTATCACCAGACAGAGGTCGGTTTTGGTTTCAAATGCATACGCCAGCGAGACTATAAACCTGCTGTGTACCTTTGCTAGAATCTTCTTCTCTACCATAGCACCCTGAAAAACAAGATCTCGAATAAGTACCCAGGTTTAAGCGGGAATGTGATGTCACCAAAGAAGCCCGAGCCCCACAAGCCAGAAAACAGAAACAGAGTTACAAACGCATTTGAAGCAGCTTGCAACACAAAGCAACCACAAGTAACCTACACACGTGTCTCACTCGCCCCATCCCCAGAGACAAAGTCCAGAGGACTCAGGCTTCCTGGAGCCTCCGGGAGGAGGCGGGAGTCAGACAGCCAGCCTTAAAAACGCCAGGTGAGGATCCCGCATGTCTGTGGCTGCCTGTTCGAGGCTTTCCTTCCAGTGCTTCCTTATGTCCAACCGGCTCGCCCCCCGCCACCCTGCCCTCCTCACCGGGCCCCGGGGCAGCAGACGGCTGGGCACCCACCCTCGTCTGTTCATTTTCTATCTTCATTTTCAAACCTCACGATGTGCACTTAGAATGTCTTTTAAAGTTGTATTTGGGCAAGGAAAGCAGAGTTCCTTTTCCAAGGAGGTGCCCTCGATGGTTCAGGAGGCCCCTCTGCACCCACGCTGCGTGGACAGGTTCTGGGTTTGTCCTGCCAAGTGTTAAGTTCAGTGAGGACCCTGAACTTGGGACAGAAGACACCGTCAGGTGAGACCACGCCTGCTTGCTCCCGCAGCCCCAAGTGGGGAGCGCTGGCAAGAAACGCAGTCACCCTTGGTGGCTGCTGTTTACCCCAAAAAGCTGTGTCTGCTCTATGCAGCGGGAGAGGATGGGAACCAAGCGCAACAGGAGATGAGCTCAGCTTTCCCTGTCCTCCCTACAGGGAGTCTGACCCGAGCTGGGAACAGCAGACCCCAAGCGGCAACCCGCCATACCGTTGGCTCACCTGAGCCAGGAAAACATTCTAGTAACTGCCAGCTCTGGCTGGACCCCCCATGTGCTCCGTCAGGGCCCAAGTCAGGGCCCGAAGAGCCCCAGAAAGCCAGATTATGGGTCAACAGCCTCCCTCCAACACCAGCTCCTATATTTCACGGTGTTGGTGAAAACAAGAAGGCCAGCGGGATGCACGGTGCCGTCCACACCAACAACACAAAGCCCCCCTCTGAGGAGGGGCCACGGCGACTCGCGTGTGTGTGCAGAGAGCTGGGGCCAGTGGCTCAGAGCGGCCACGCCGAGGCCCGGGCCAGAGGGGGCCTGTGCTCCGCTTGGGGCGAGAAGGCTGCCCACAGGGAGGGCCCAGCGTCCCATGTGGGGCTGGACGCGGTCCCAGGTGGCCCCCTGCGGGTCTCGGGGCACTCCCTCCTGCCCGATGTGAGCGGCCGGCTGCCCACCTGGTACCCCTTCCTTTTCTTGAGTCTCTTTTTGTTGAGCTTCTTACACGCATACAACTTGCCGGTGGCCTTCATCTGGCAGGCAGACACCTCCCCGAAGCCGCCTTTCCCCAGGACCCTGAAGTCCAGAAACCAGTCCTCCCCGGTGGGCTGGGCCTCCAGCCACTTCCACTGCAGGAAGCGCTGGAAGTGCAGGCTGTCCAGGTACTCCTGGAAGGGCGCCTGGCTCAGGTACACCAGGGTCTCCTGCAGCAGGGGCCGGAAGAGCCCGTCCCCGCCCACCACGGGCCCCTCCCGGGCCTGCGCCATGGTCCCCTCGTCCAGGAAGCTGCAGAAGAGGTCGGCCTGGGGGTCCAGGTACGCAGCCAGGATGGCGCGAGCCTTCTGTGGCCGGAGGTCATCGTCAGCGGTGTCGTAGTCCTCGATGTCCTTCCAGAGCTCCAGAGCCGGCGCATGCCTCTGGTCGGCCCCCAGGAACTGCTGGAACAGCCGCTTGCCGATGGGCTGCTCTGAGCACACACTCAGGAACGCCAGGTCCAGGCTCTCCCGGAGGCCCTGGCACTTGGACAGCGGGGGCAGCTTCAGCTTGGCCAGGTACTTCCTGTCCCGAGAGGATGGGCCGCTGCTCCCATCAAAGCTGCCCCGGGCAGCGATGAAGGCTGAGTTGGCCACCACCGTCTCCAGGGACCCGAAATCCATCCTGGCGCTGGCCTCCCACCGCGTCGGGCACGAGGGGCCTGACCTGCCGCCCTGGGTCCGTGCCCCCTGCCCTCCCCAGAAGGCAGGCGTCCCAGCAGGTGCAAGGGTGACTGGAGGCCGTGCCAGGAGCCCAGGGGACCCAGCTGACGCAGCTCTGGCCAAATCCCAGCCCGGGGTCACAGAGCAGGTGCCAGAAAAAGACAATCCCCTAAGCGGCTTCCAGTCGGATTAGACGGCCCGTCCTCGGGGCTCCCTCCTCCTGAGGGCCCGACAGAAAGGACAAACCCGGGCCCCGTTGCGTCTGGCTGAAGCTGCCCTCAGCCTAGGCAGGCAGGGACACGTTTGTTTTCTCTAGACGACAGGAGACCAAACAGAAGGCAGAGGGGCCCAGGAGAAACCCTGCTTTAGTAAAGATGGCTGGTGGTTTTCCCCCTATATTTCATTTTTGTCTTAAAAAAAAAGCAAGTGGGAAGAAAAACAGGTGACCATAGAAATTCACGCAGAAAAGGCAGTGAGAGCTCACAGGAGAACAGCCTCCTGGGGTGTCCATGGTTCCCCGCTGGCAGGGCAACTGTGGCTGTGTGGGGACCGGGCCTGACACGGACAGAAGCCTGCCCCCAGGTCACCTGCCAGCTCTGAGGCCTAAGGTAACCCCGGCACCTGCCCAGGGATCAGCTCCACATCTGCTCCCTCCCCTCTCCTGGGCTGTGCCAGCAAAGCAGAATGCCTGTAGAAGCTTCAGGTGAGGCGAGGACCCAAGCAGGAGACCCCAGCTACACCCAGGGCTGAGGCCCCACACAGAAACAGGAGTGAGGGAGGGGTGCAGAGGCCAGCAGCACACCTGGGGGATCCTGGGGCACATACCTGGGGGACATCTGGGACACACCTAGAGACATACCTGGGGGGACACACCTGGGCCACATACCTAGGGGATGTCTGGAACACACCTGGAGGACACACCTGGGGGACACATCTGGGGGGCATCAGGACACACCTGGAGGTGTCCCACACACTGGGACACACACCTGGGGGACACACCTAGGGGACCCTGGGGCACATACGTGGGGGACATCTGAGACATACCTTGAGGACACACCTGGGACACACTTGGGGCACACATCTGGGCACACACCTGGGGGACATGTGGGACACACCTAGGGGACACAGCTGGGAGACACAACTGGGGGACAACTGGGGGGCATCTAGGGGACATCTGGTACACACCTGGAGGTGTCCCACACACCTCGGCACACCTGGGGCACACATCTGGAGGACACACCTGGGGAACACAGCTGGTACACACCTAGGGGACACACCTGGGGCACACACCTGGGGCACACACCTGGGGGACATCTGGGACACAACTGGAGGACACACCTGGGGGACACAGGGACATCTAGGAGACACCTGGGGCACATCTGGGGATGCCAGGCCCAACAGAAGTGTCAGATTTGCAAAGGCATGGCCTTGTCTATCCAGTACACAACAGGTACTCAGTAAACGTGTGGGGAAGAAAAGGAACCAATTGGGGTTGGTTATAGTTTAAAGAGGGGAGGAAGTGAGGGGTTGCAGAAACAGGAATGCCTGAGCCCAGGGGCCAGGTTGCCCAGCCCACCCCCTGTTCCTCCGGGGAGAAGAGGATGTTTGGGAGAGGGGTGTGGGTGAAAGGCAGGGAAGGCAGAAGTGAGGACTTGTGTATGAGCAGAGTCCCCTGCCTTTAACCCCTCCCTGCCTACCCGGCAGGGTTCAAAGGACAGGGGTCTCACTGCCTACCACACTTCCCAATCATGCCAGGCACACCAATCGCCTGGAGACCTTGCCAAAACAGACTCCGCTTCAGCGGCCTGGGGGTGGCGCTGCGACTGTGCGCCTCTTCTAAGCTGCTCGGGGATGCAGTGGGCACGTCAGCATGGTCCGCTCTGCTCCGGTACCCTCCTCTCCGTCACTGTATGTGAGACACAGAAACAGATGATAGGCTTGGAACTGAGTAAACGGAGCCTCGACTTTATTCTTTTTCAAAAATATTTTTCAAAAAACAATTTTTAAAACTAAGTATTCAAAACATGGAAGAAAATATTCCACTTCCTTTGCCTTTCTATAGAAGTCTTACAGTAGTCTTCTCTGTATCTACACAAAAAAATCTAGTTCAGACCTTGATAGGAATTAAACCTACATGTCAATCTGGGGAGAACTGACATCTTTACTACACTGAATCTTCCAACCTATGAATGTAATCTGTAACCTGTCTTCCCTCACCATCGTGAATATTTGAGCACACAAGTTCTGTACGTGTTGTATTGGATTAACACCTAAATATTCCTGTTTGTTTTGAGCAAATGTCAATCATAGTGTCGTTTGGGACCCATGTGCTCATTGCTAGTAAATGAAACACAGTTGATTGGGGGGCGTTAACCTCGTAGACTTTGCCTTGCTGAACTCATGTATTCTAGATTTTTTGCAGAGTCTTTGGAATTTTCTACACATACAATCCTGTTGTCTGAAAATAAGGACCTTCATTTCTTCCTTTCTAGTCTGTTGCCTTTTCTTTTCTTGTTTATTCCACTAGCTGGAACGCCCGCCCAGCACAAGGCTGACACAGAGAAATGAGCGCAGAAGTCCATGCCTCATTATTGATCTTGGGGTAGACACCAGTCCTTCACCACTAGAGAGGATGTTGGCTGTAGAGATTCTGTCAATGCTTTTAATGCTTTTAATGAAATTTCTGTCTATTCCTAGTCTGCTGAGAGTTTTTATCATAAATGAATGTTGAATTTTGTCAAGTGTTTTTTCTGCATCAGCTGGTATGATCACAGGATTTTTCTTCTTTGGCTTGTTAATGTGGGGTTTTACACTGATTGATTTTTTAATATCGAACCAGCTCCGCATCTCTAGAATATATCCCCCTTGGTCATGGTGTTTAATGCTTTTTATACATTGTTGGGTTCAATTTGTCAATAGTTGGTTAAGGAATTTTGTCTATATTTGTGAGGGATTTGGTCTGTAGTTGTTTTTGTTTCTTGCGCTGGCTTTGGTTTTGGTGAAGGGCATGCTGGTCTCATAAATCAGGTGGGGAAGTCCCCTTCTATTTTCCAAATGATACAGTACACAATTTGTGCTACTTCATTACCTGTTTGGTAGAATTCTCCAGTGAAACCATCAGGGCCTGAAGGGTTTTTTTGTTGTTGGGAGACCTTACATTATAAATTCAGTTTCCTTAATAGTTATAGGGCGAGTCAAATTCTCTATTTCAAATGGGACAAGGTGTGTTTTTTGAGGAAGTGGCCAATTTCATCTAAGTTGTTGAGTTTACGTGCATAAAGTTGTGTGTGGCATTTCCTCTTTATGTCTGAAGGGTCTGTAGTAATATCTCATTTTATCCTTAATTTGGTTATTTATGTCTATTTTCTTGCTATAGATTTGTCAATTTTATTGACTTTTCAAAGAACCAGCTCTTTCACTGATTTTCCCTTTTGCTTTTGTTTTTAATTTCATTGATTTCTGATCTTAGCTTTTATTTCTTCCTTCTGCTTGCTTTCCCTGCCTCCTTTTCTAAATTTTCCAAGTGGAAACTGAGATTATTAATTTAAGACTCTCTCTCTTTTCTGATACATGCATTTGGAACTATAAATTCTTTTTTTTTAAGTTTATTTATTTATTTTTGAGAGAGACAGAGACAGCTTGAGTGGGGGAGGGGCAGAGAGAAAGGAAGAGACTCTCCAGAAGGCTCTGTGCTGTCAGCATGGAGCTCAACATGGTGCTCGAACCCATGAAACCACAAGATCATGACCTGAGCTGAAAGCAAGAGTCAGATGCTTAACCGAATGAGACACACAGGAGCCCCTAAATTCTCCTTTTAACACTGCATTAGCTGCATCCCACGAATTTTGATGTTCTATTTTTGTCTTCATCAGTCCTACGCTTTTTAAATTTCCCTCAAGACTTCCTTTTGACTTAGGAATTCTTTGAAATGTGATTTAGTTTTCACGTTTGAGGATTCCCCTGTTATCTTTGTGTTATTTGTTTCTAGTTTGATTGTATCATGGTTGGAGGACACACTGCATGGTTTCAATTCTCTTAACTTTGTGGAGCTTTGTTTCATGGCTCAGGATATGCTCTATTCTGGTATATGTTCCAAGATCACTTAAAAAGAAAGTGTATTCGGTTGTGCTTGGGTGGGCTAGTCTACAAATGTCAATGGCATCCTGTTAATTGACAATATTGTTGAATTCTTCTATATCCGTGCTGATTTTCTATTTAGCTATTCTATCAATTATCGAGAGAGAACTGTTGAAGCCAGTTTTATTAGTTTGCTTTGCACATTTTGCATCTCTCTTATTTGGCGCATACACATTTAGGATTGCTATATCTTCTTGATGATTGACCCTTTATCATTATGTAATGTCTCCTGTAATTTTCTCTGCTCTGAAGTCATATGATATTAATATAACCACACCTTCATTTGATTAGTATTTATTTGCAGGATGTATCTTTTTTCATCCTTTTGTGTTCAACCTGCCTATATCATTCTATTTGAGATAAGCTTCTACTAGACAGCCTATATTTGGGTCTGTTTTTAAATCTACTCTGTCAGTCTCTGTTTTGTTTTGTTTTTGACTGATGTATTTATAGCATTTACATTTAATGTAATTGTTGATGAGGTCTGGCATTTTTCCTGTGGGTTACTTTGAAAAATTTTTAGGATTCAATTTTGATTTATCTATAGTATTTTTACGTGTATCTCTTTATGCATATTTTTATTGGTTGCTGTTGGTATCATATGTACATAATTTATCACATTCTATTGCTGTCACTTTAGCAGTTCAAGTGAAGTACAGAAATATCACATCTCTTTATCCTTTCCTGTTTATAATTACCTTAATTATTTCATCTACATACATTTAGAACAATATCAGGCAATGTTATGGTTTTTGTTTCAACCATCAAACATAATTTAGAAAATTCAAGAAGAGGGGCTCAGATGGTTAAGCGTCTGACACTTGGTTTTAGCTCAGGTCATGATTTCAGTTTGTGAGTTCAAGCCCTCTTTGGGTTCTGTGCTGACAGTGCGGGGCTTGCTTGGGACTCTCTCTCTCCTTCTCTCTCTGCCCCTCTCCCACTCAAGCATGCATATGCTCTCTCTCAAAATGAATAAATTATTAAAAAAGAGAAAAGGAAATTCAAGAAGAAAAGGAGAGCTTATAGTATTTGCCCATGTTTCACTTACCATGTTATTTCATCCTTCCTAATGCTCCCATATTCTTTCAACACCGTCTTTCTGTTTCGAGAACTTCCTTTAGCCATACTTTTAGGATAAGTCTGCTGCTGACAAATTATCTTCCTTTCCTTTTCCTTCATTTGAGAATGTTGGGGCCCCTTCTTCCCTATTTGTGCTGGGTTCAGGATCTGGGTAACAGATCTCTTCTTTCAGCATCTAAATATATTTTGCAGCTTCCTTCTGACTCTGCTTTCTGAAGAGTAATCTTCTGTAATTCAAATGTTTTTTCTCTGGCTGCTTTCTTGATTTTTGTGTGTGTATGTTTTCAATTTTCAGAAGTTTAATCATGATGCACTGTGGATCTGGGGAGTTACCCTATTCGTATTTCACTCGGCTTTGTGAACACACAGGTTTATATCTTTTGCTGTGTTTGGGAGTTTTCAGCCCTGTCCTCTTTCTTCTCTCCTTCCAGAACTCTGATGGCACAGATGTTACATCTCCGTTAGTCCCCAGGTCCCTGAGGCACTGAACATCTTTTTCCTACTGTTCAGATCACGTAATTTCTATTATTTTTTCTTCCATGTCACTGATTTCTTTCATCTGTCCCCTCCTTTATGCAGCTGAATCCATTCATTGAGCTTTTTATGTTCATTATTGTATTTTTTATATTTCCATTGGTTCTTCTTTGTATCTTCTGTTTCTTTCCTTAAACTTTCTTTTTGTTGAGACTATTTTTTTCTTTGTTTCACAGGTTTATGATTGCTCCCTCAAGCATTTTTATCACAACTGCCTTAAAATCTCTGATTCCAACAGCCTTATCACTTTGATATTGGCACCCTTTGATTGCCTTGTTTTAATTCATTTTGAAATCTTCCTGGTTCTTGACTAAAATACATGATTATCAGTTGAAACCTGGACATTTTCCTATCATTTAATCCTTCAGTTTTAGCTGTTTTTTTTTTTTATTCCACCCCAGCAGCAGAAGGGGGTGGGCCCCACCTCTTTTCTGCCAGGTGGGGGAGAAGTCTGGGCTCCCCACATCGTCTGGAGCCCGCTCTTTGTGGGGCATCTGTTGCATGTTCTCAGAGCATGCTGTGTGGGAGCCTCCCTTCCCTGCCTCTCCTCCCCGCAGGCACACATCCGGAGGGCACTGTGATCATGTGTGTGCAGTTCAGCCCACACTTTCTCACATCTGGGACTCCAGAGACTAAATGTGGATGGTTTCTTTCAACGACTTCTGGAAAGGATTCACTTCTTGCTCATTTCAAGGACATGTCTATACTTCCCAGGTGAGGGTGGCATTTATTCTGTGGGGACGGTCGCTTCTCTGTCTTCAGGCCCCGGCGGCTGGGGTCCCAGGCCCATGGGCCGTGGGCAATTAGCAACCTAACGTCACTGTGTCTTACTGACCTGAAATCCCCAAGTTGTGAATGAGAACAGCATACGAAAGACACACAGATTTGGTCCATGAAAAAATTATGAGTCCAAGCTAAAATGGTGCTACTCCATCTGAATCTTTGGGGGCTCATTTTGCTAACAAACGAAGTCATGTTAAAATAAGTCAGAACAACTGAAAAGAGCACTTTTCATTATTCTTCTTCCAAATGAAACGGTCAAATTTGGCCACAAATGTGCCCTCAGAGGGAAAACCTAGAGGGGACAGCAAATGAAATCCTAGGTCCTTGGGTACAATACCTGTTATTTTAATCAGGCTTTGACTTGGATATTTGTGAAAAGTCTTCTGTGGTACATTTGTCTCATGGCAGCGGTAGGTACCCCGGTGAGCAGATGTCACGGCCCCAGCTACATAAACCGCCAAGGTCTCCTGCCTCTGGTCCTGCGTCAGGGTGTTCAGGGGGCCTGCAGCCCTCTGGGCGGTCAGGCCGCCTTGACAGGTCAGCTCACTCAGAAACTCGGCCCTGGGACAGGCGGCAGGAATCTACGGCCCGGTAATTCCAACGTGCTGTCAGCCCACGCGTGCCCCGGACATCACCGGGGTCCTAAAGCCACAGGCACAGTCCACCAGGAGCCCCCGCTGGGTCAGAATCTGCATTTCAACAAGGTGCCAGGGGCCAGAGCAGACAAGGACTCGGCCAAGGGCATCCGGAGAGGAGGGGTGGCGAGGTGAGGAGGCATCTGATAGCCACTGTGTTTGGATAGCAAGGCATGATCACGCCCTGGTTCTTTCCCCCGAGACTTGACCTTCAGGGGAGGAGACTATAAAACCCACAGGCCACCTTTCTCCCCTCAGGCCAGGTGTGGGGAGCTCCCTGATCCGCAGGGGCGATGGCGGCGCTGCAGGAGAAGAAGTCATGCAGCCAGCGGATGGAGGAGTTTCAGCGCTACTGCTGGAACCCGGACACCGGGCAGATGCTGGGCCGGACGCTGTCGCGGTGGGGTGTGTGCCCACGGGGACGGGGACATGGTGGGGTGGGGGGTGTGCCCGCGGGGATGGGGACGTGGGGGGGGGGGGGGGGTGTGCCCGCGGGGACGGGGACGCTGTGCCGCCCAGGCACCCAGGACCCAGGAGGCTGCCTGTCTCCAACCAGATAACCCAAAGGCCCATTTTGGCTCCAACGCCCCCCTGACAAAGTGGGATCATCTGAGAGCTGGCCGCAAAGGTTCAGCCACAGACTTGAGAACAGCATTTTTAAAGCTATGCTCCTAAAACTTAACGATTTTTATTTTTTTATTTAAAAAACTTTTTTTCATGTTTATTTATTTATTCTGAGAGTGAGACATAGCACAAGTGGGGAGGGGCAGAGAGGGAGACACAGAATCCAAACAGGCTCTGGGCTCTGAGCTGCCAGCACAGAGCTTGACGGACAGTTCGAACCCACGAACCGTGAGATCATGACCTGAGATGAAACTAAGCCAGATGCTTAACTGACTGAGCCACCCAAGCGCCCCAAAGTTATGATTTTTAAAGACTGTTAAGGGGTACGGAGCACCTCTTGGGTGAGAAGAACGTTCTAGAACCTGACAGACGTGATGGTTGCACAGTACTGTGTGTGAATGCACTGTGAACACCACTGCCTTGTGCACTGAGGTGGTTAAACCTGTGGCTTTACACTGCACACCCCCCTCCCTGCAGTATGGATCAGCCTCTACTACGTGGCCTTCTACGTGGTGATGACCGCAATCTTTGCTCTGTGCATTTACACACTCATGTGCACAATCGACCCGTACACACCTGACTACCAAGACCAGCTAAAGTCACCAGGTAAGGGGGGCTCATGCCCGGACCCCAGGACCCAGTGCGTCAGGCCACATGCAGTCCGGGAGCCCCGGGCTCAGAACACAGACCCTCAGGAACAAAGCCCAGAGAGGCAATCAGGAGGGGCCACTCATGCCAGGGCCCAGGGCTCTGAGGGGGACACCCTCCCATCCCCGCTGGGGCCTCAGGGCTCAGAAGGGGGACACCCTCCCACCAGGGCCCCAGGACTCTAAAGGGGTCCCCCCAGGCATGGATAGCCCCTCAGCTTCTTTTGAGGACAGTGGCTCCAGGTTATGGTCAGACTTTGGCTGTCGTTTTAATTGTTAAAACAGATTTGTTACAGGGACCATGTTCACATCGCTCACTTTAGATGCCGACAAAGGTGCACAGGGCCCGTCTGGGAGAAGGCACGGAGCAGGGAGGCTGAGGCCAGAGGAAAGGGCTTGGTGGGAGGAAAGGGCTTTTGTCTTGCACTGGATGCACGTCTGCACCGAGGCCTCTCCTGTTACCACGTCCACAAACACGAGCTCGGTTCAGAACACACTGTTCTCTAAGAGCAGCTGGTCTGCCGTCCCGTGTGGGGAAGGACGCTTGGAACGAAGGCCGAGCCCGGTGTCCGGAGTCACCTCTGGACCTAGCCCAGCTGCCTGCACAGACCAAACGAGAAAGGGCAGGGGGAGAGAGGGGAAGAAGTGAAGGAGGAAAACGCACTTTCCAGCACAACTATGGAGATGCTCACCACTCGTGGGTGGCGTCCCTACACTTCCCATGGAAGCAATAGCCCGAGAAATGCCCAGTGGCCACACCGCTTCCTGTGGGAGGAAAGGAAAACCCAGCAGTGAGAGCCAGGGGGCGTGTGTTCCCCCAGGCAGGCCCCTCCACCCCAGGGGTCTTCGGGAAATCCCTTCACCCGGCATCACAATACCACAGTGCTCTACTGGGCGTTGTTTTTAGAGCCAGGCAACAGGTAAGCTCACGGTGGCCGCAGAACAGAGCGTGATGCGTGGCACACGTGCTTCCCCCGGAGCCCGGGGGGTGGGGGGGAGCAGCCACCACTGACACGCACGAACAGGCTGAGAGCGCCAGCAGAGAGGACCCTGTGCAGTGTGCCCACGCTCCCCTGGGTCAGATCCTCACCAGGGTTTGACCTGAATCTGCACACAGACGTTGCGCCCACAGCATCCACGAAAGGACAGAACACCGGCTGACGTATCTAAAAAGTCCCCACGTCAAAGGAGCCAGCTTCATTCACACAGGGAAACAGCACGTGGTATCTGTGGACAGTTCGATGACGACACACTTACAACAGCATCGGGACACAGAAGGAGGAGAGTGGAATCTGGGTGGTGGGACCCCATTTATCCAACTTATGGCACACACAGGGTCGCGCATCTGACGCTCACAGAAGTGAGGACGCCCAGCACACAGGCAACCACTGCCACTCCCTACACGTGTGCATCCTGACTTTTTGTACAATTAACATGTTGTCAATTGCTTTTAATCAAAACCAGTGAAGATTTTTCAAATGTGTATTCAAATACAACTCCGCCTAGTGTGGTTCCGACAAGTCGGGCAGGGCCCCTGTGGAGCCACTGTTGCGGAGGACACGCAGACACTGTCCCCTCGCATGGGGGCCCCTCAGGACCGCAGCAACCCATGCTTGGCCACCGGGCCAGACAGCGGTGTGTGGGAGTCTGCAGCACATGGCTGGGTGTGACCAACACCTTGGGGGGAACTGAGTCACACGCGTCCTGCTCTCTTCCCAGGGGTGACCTTGAGGCCAGATGTCTACGGGGACAAGGGCCTGGACATTTCCTACAATGTTTCCGACAACAGGACCTGGGTGGACCTCGTGCACACTCTCCACACCTTCCTGGCAGGTGAAGTTTAACAAGCTTCCAGCCTCTGCTTTTCCCACTTCCAAGACAATTTCGTGGAGGGGCCTGGGCTATGCCCCCTCCAGCCAGCCCCAGTGCACGTGTCCCTGCAGGCTACTCGCCAGAGTCCCAGCAGGACAGCATCAACTGCACCTTTAAGGAGTACTTCTTCCAGGAAAAGTTCATGGCCCCCAACCACACCAAGTTCTCCTGCAAGTTCACAGCAGACATGCTGCAAAATTGCTCAGGGCTGGTGGACCCCAACTTCGGCTTCGCAGAAGGAAGGCCGTGCTTTGTGATTAAAATGAACAGGGTGAGTCCTGAGGGCCCCTGTGGAGATGGCCGTGGCATGGAGGCCGGGGGTCTGGCCCTCATGTGACCCACGTGCCCCTGTCCACGGTGGCGGGGCTGGGACGCGCACCGCTGCCCCCTCCCGCTCTGTTCCTATGCTCAGCGTGCCCTGAGCTTCCCCCCCGATACGACCTGAAAACAGCTCACACAGCAGCAGCACCTCGACACTGGGCAGCAGAGTCCAGCTCGTGTGCACAACAGCTCGACAGCAGCCGGGCCACATACAGGTGCTGGGAGGGGACCCGGACACAATCCAGAGCAGAGGTTTTCAATATGGGCCAGGGACCCTCTGCCAGGCATGAGGGAGGCTGGACAGGCCAGTGTGAGAGCCGAAGGAGAGCACAGCCCATGCAGCCTCGGTGCAGGGGACGGGAACATCCCACCAGAGGCTGACGACGGCAGAAGGGCCAGGGGTGTCTGCTCCATACTGGGCGACAGGTGCGGTCTGGGGACTCCCCACACCTGCCGAGTGCTATTTATCTCCCTTCCCGAGAGACGGGGAGGCCACGAGTGTGTGCCCTGCACACGCTCCTGGGTCCCTGCTGGGTCTCGTCACCGCCTGGCAGGGGAAGGGCGTGCAGGGAGGGCAGTACTGCCCTGGGCACCAGGCACAAGGAGGTACATCCGAAGGCCGAGACCCCAGGAGGCTGAAAGAGCATGACGTGGGAGCAGCACAGGTGAGCTGCGGGCGGCGGGGGCAGCTGCCGCGCCCGCTCCAGGGCCCCACGGAGCACCAGGGAGTGGCTCTGCGGGCGGTGACAATGGAGCCCCAGGCCGGACAGGCCCTTCACACACACAGCTGGCAGGAGAGCTACAAGGATGCCCTTCCCTTCCAGATCGTCAAGTTCCTCCCCAGCAACAGCACGGCGCCCAGGGTGGACTGCGCCTTCCTGGTGAGTGCGCGGCTGTGGCGGTGGAGCCACTTCTCCCCAAGCTCCTCTCAGCCGCCAGCCCAACCGTCCGGATTCACAGTCGCAACAACCGTCACAAACCATCACTTAGAGCAGCTTCATTAAGGGCACAAAAACCGAGTAAGAAAAACAGTGTATCGTTGTTACTGTTCTGCTTCCAGAAGCGTCTGGAACAGTACGTTACTAACACGCTTCAAAGTATTTGGTGGCAGTTTAGAAAAAACCGAGGTACCTTTTTACGGTTTTTTTCTCTTATTTACTTACACGTATGCCAGGTGACCAACAGCCATGGATGTTTAACAGCATACGTGTTCGGGCTCCTAAGAGTTGGCATGAATTCGCTCCAGTTTTTCTAAAAACGAGCTTTTTAAAAATTTTTTCATTTACCTATTTTGAGAGAGAGAGAGAGAGAGAGAGAGAGAGAGAGAGAGAGAGCGCACGCGCGCACGCACACAGGGGAGGGGCAGAGAGAGAGGGAGAATCCGAAGCAGGCTCCACACTGTCAGCACAGAGCCCGAAGCAGGGTTCCATGTCACAAACTATGAGACCACGACCTGAGCCAAAATCAAGAGTCAGATGCTTAACTGGCTGAGCCCCCCCGCCCCGCCTCCTGCTGCAAAACCAGTTTTCAAGCACAAAAAAACAGACTGCTTCCGTTCATCATTATTTTCTAAAGCTTGTTTCCCTGGCGGCTGCGACAGGAGGCTCCCTTAGGGCAGCGCCTACCTCCAGGGCCTGTCTCTTGTGGGCGAGTCCCTGGCTCGCTCTGGGCGCTCCTGTAGTCACTCAACCACACATGTAGGCCAACCTGAGCTTTAATAGACACCAAAGTGTTCTCCATCTGTGTTCTGACGAAATCCAGCCACCCGCCAGGCAGTTCGCAGACTCTGACAATGACGAGAAACGAGAAAGCAGTGCTTACCCCAGACTGTCACGCAAACTTTTGGCCAGTTTTGGCAAAACCGGCCCACCCAGCCTCTCGGCTTTCACTCCCATATACGGACAGACCAGCACATTCTTCACTCTGATAGGTCACCAAAGTGACCTTAGTTTGGCAAACTAATAAGTTATGTGCCCAATGGGATCTCAGTACTGATCCTAAAGACCAGATCTGGTCTCTGGTAACTGCACATGAACTGTTAGCATGCACACACACACAGACAACCAGGCAGGACACACACAAGCTGCACGCACATGTACCCAGCTCCTGCCTCACCCAGGTGGTGGCCTCTCTGTCCCCAGGACCAGCAAAAGGATGCCCAGCCCCTGCAGGTGGAGTACTTCCCACCCAACGGCACCTTCAGCCTCCACTACTTCCCTTACTACGGGAGCAAAGCACAGGTAGGCCTGCCACCAGCCGCAGAACCGTCTCAAAGTTAGCAACGTGCTCGGCGTGAGGACAGCCGTCAACATTCACCTGCACTGCAAACCAGGCTGCCTCAGCCCATCCTGACCACACAGCTCTCTGGGCACTTCCCAAACCCACCGCCCGTAACTACCGGAAAGCACAAGGCTCTCACACAAAACATAAATATCAAACCTAATTCTTCTACCTTCCGAGCACTTCCCAAATCCTGTTGGGACACCACATATCCATTTTGAAGCACTTCCTCCAAGTCTCTTAATTTTTCCTGTTTTATTTTTAAACTAATTTTCATCAAGTACAATTTGAGGCCAACTTTGTCACTGGTGCTGTCTCACCCCCCAGACCGACTCTCCTCGTTCCTACATGGAGAGAGACCCCTCTGTCCCTGTGAGTTCTGGCACACAGCAGAGCGTGTGAGGGCAGCCATGCTCAGATAGGGCAGGCGGGCACTGCCTCCAAGCAGCCCGCCCGGATGTCTGCCACAGTTTCTAACTCTCGCTTCCTCCCGTCTTCCCACATTGTTCCAGCCCCACTACAGCAACCCTCTGGTCGCTGTAAAACTTCTCAACGTCCCCAGAAACACGGAGGTCCTCATCGTGTGCAAGATCCTGGCCGATCATGTAACATTTGACAACCCCCACGATCCCTACGAGGGGAAGGTGGAGTTCAAGCTCAAAATCCAGCAGTAGAGAGCAGGGCGCCCGGCCGCCAAGCACTGGAAACCAGCCCAGAGCCGCAGGCCGTGACCTGTAAGCACTTAGCACTGGAGTTGACGGCTTCTCGCTAAGTCTTCTCTGCTCCTTGACACAGAATTCGTAGTGAGGATCAAAACGCTGGGCCAACACGATGACCCCGAGGCAGTGGTTACCCACTAACGAGACCCAGATACTCGCCCCAGGCGAACTTCTCTCTCCTTACTGTGCCTCAGCTTCCCTGACCTCTGCGATCTCCTGGGACCCGCGTCAGCAAGAAACACGCCTCACGAGGACGGACGATCGGAAGGCTTGCTTTTAAAGACACAATTCCTACCCTGTACAAATAAAGCACATTAAAGTCACACTTTGCTCTACATACAACAGTCGCGTCTTTCCTGATAAGGGGAAAAATAACAAAAAAGTCACTTTTTCTTTAAGAAGCCTCTTCTTAAAGTTTCAATCCCAAGTCAGGGAAATCAGACTACGCTGGGGAGCCAGAGCTCTGGCTGGTAAGGAGGGGTGGCGAGCGGGTGGCGGGTGGGGCAGAGCAAACCCCAGAGGGAGTCAGGGCACTGCGGTCGCCAAGGGGCACGCCTCCGCCTCTGCCAGCTGCTCTAGAAAAACCTGGAGCATTGTGGCCAAACAAGCCCCCTGTCCCAGAGCAACCCCACCTCCCACCCTAGTATCGCATGCAACCTGGTGTCTTACTCCCATGCAAGCACCCCACACGTTGTCTGGGGGTCCCGCCCACACACAGCAGGCAAAGGGCGCCAGAACTCAGTGGCCCCCTGGCCCTCAGGGCAGTTGAGGGAAGTCATGACCGGCCAGAGCAGGCAGGTGGCCACATCCACCCACGGGACTGTGGGCTCCCTTGCAAGGCCTGTGGCTTCAAAACACTGGTGGGTTTTCTCAGCTGGTTCAAGTTAAGATGGTGAACTGTCCTTTCTTCTCTGACGATCTTATTCTTTCTGAGACTCAACAGCCCACAACCTGTCCCAGCTCTGAGGACGCAGGAGGAGGGTGAGGGGTGCTCTGTGCGCGGCCCGGTGACTGTCCTCACTCAGCGAGAAGACACACGCTGCAGCTTCCGCACAATAATCGTGAATTAGAGGAACACGGAGCTGGTTTAAAATGCCCATGCGCGTTTTATTAATAAAAACTAACAGTGCCGAGTTAAACAAGTCAAACAATTAAAGTCTCTTTATATTCCATAAAATATTACAGAAAAGTTTATTTGTGTTTCAATAAAAAGACTATTGTTGTAGAACAGGCAGCTAACAGCAACTGTGCGGTTAATGGTTCTTTGTGAATAAATTTTAAAAGGGACTACTGCCTGTCCTGAAATTCCGTTTCTTTTTATAAAAAAAGAACTATTAAAAATGATTGACAAATTTTGAGTTAAAAAACTGTTAGAACATTCTCTATATTTAATGTCAACTTTATCGTAGATTATAGGAAGATGCTCACGAAACAAATACGACGTTTGTTTCCGTTTGCGTCTTTAGACGACAGACGTGTAGGTGTGTAAACAACTATATAGTAAAGTCTGCAGACACTGCCTGTGAGAAATCAGGCAGGCCTCACCGCAAGCCGCACGCCGCTCCAAGCCCTCCAGTTTTCGTAGCTGCACCAGCACGGCAGTGAACTTTTTCCAAACAAAACAAAAACAAATAAAGAACTTCGCAATTTGCTGCAACATAGAGGAAAAAAAAATGAACGAACTTGATGGAGTCACACAGTCAATATAATTTAAGGGAAAATAAAGTCCTAATACAATTCGTGGCCCAAGGCTGAAGAGCAGGGCTCGGCCGGCACCGTCCGCGGCTGCCGGCGGGCTGTGGGAGGAGGCACACTCAGCAAGAACCAAGGGGCAAAGTGAACTCTGAGCTACAGACAGACAACGCAAACAAGATCCTGGACAGCGGAGAGAGGCCCTGCGTCGTGGCTGGCGCCCCAGCGCGCCCCAAGCCCCCGCGGAACGCAGCCCTCGCCCGCTCTGGAGTCTCCTCGGGAGGGGCCAAGGAGGAACCCAGCCCACACCAAAAGCAGTCTCTGCCGACGCGGACTGTGAGGGCCGGCCGCGGGTGTCAGTCCTCCTCCTCATTCTCATTGAAGTCGTCGTCCTCCTCCTCGTCCTCCCCGACGTACGACACGGGGGTCTCCACCCGGGAGCCACTGTACTGGGACCCACTGGAGCTCGTGGCCAGCACGCCATCCGCACCATTGGTCAGGTCGCTGCGGGAACGAGGAGACAAGGCGGTCAGCAGCACACAGCCCGAGTGGGGCGCCCCCACGTCCACTCCCGCCGAGGTGGCACTTCACCCCAAGCCCCTCCTCAAGACACAGATCACCGCACACGAGGCAACGCCGGCAGGGCCACAATATCTGTCATGACATCACAAACCAAGCCCCGACGGGCATAAACTGGAAACCACAGGTCCTTCTTCCAGGCCTTGTACTTGTGACCTCCTGGATCTCCAGGAGGGAGGGGACAACAGGTGAGGAAAAAGGGGCCCCAAAAAGGACATGGAGCCCTCCAAAGCAAGGCATTCCAGATGGCAGCGCACGGGGGTGCCCAGCGAGTTGTGTGTGCACGTGCTATGTGCATGGCTATGTATGTGTGTGCACATGTATGCACATGTGTGACTGTATGTGGTTGTATATGCATGTGCATAGTTGTGTGTGCACATTTATGCACGTATGTGGTTGTGCGTGGTTGTATATGCACATGTGTGCATGCATGCGTGTGGTTGTGTGCACATGTATACATATATGTGGTTGTATATGCACGTGTGTAGTCATGTGCACGTGTGGTCGCATGCGTGCATGTGTACTGCCTTGCGATGGTATATACATGCACTTGTGTGTGCGTGCGTGTGTAAAGGACACCCCAGGCCCACACTCCACCACCACCACCACCACCCTCTGCCCTGTACCGTGCGGAGCCCTGGGAGCAGAGCTGTAACAGGAGTCTCACACACTCTGCAAGCTGAACTTCCAGGAACAGCCCCCAGGACCCCACATATTCTACCATTTCAGGAAATGGCACTTTCTGAAGGCCAGTGGGGTCGGCAGGGAGCAGGGGCGCAGAGAGGTGGAGTCGCAGGGCTGGGTGCTGGAGGGAAGCAGGGCTGCTCAGACGTGCGTCTGGAACCCATCATGTTGGCACTGGGCCCTGAGAGTCTCAGCAGGGGACACGTAATCATCTCTGGCTGTCACATGGGGTGTGAGGGGGGTGACTATTGGCACCTGGGCCCAAGGGTGCCACCAAACACATCAACAAGGCACCGGGCAGCATGCAGGACAGTCATCTAGCCCCAAATGGCACCAGTGCCTCAGGCAAGACCCTGGCCTAGAACAGAGAGATTTTAAAAACTGGGGTCCTGAGGAAACACCTCTGGGTTCAGGCGGCCCCTGGCACAGAGTGGGTCAGACACAAGGCAGCAGACACGGTCCTGGGGCCCCGAAAGGTGACTGCCCACACCCACTAAGAGGTGCACACACCCGTGTGACCTGCTCAGACACTTGCTGTCAAAAGTCACTGTGATTCCTTAGTATTTGGGTCTAGCAACAAGAAAAGTATCCTAAGAGACATCAGACACTAAAGGGATTCCAGCCTGCAACGCGGAGCTGCACAGAGATCCCCCAGATTCTGGCCGGTCACCTCCCACAAGCATGCGGGACTCGGGTACCCCTCCGCCAGCAGCCTAGAAGGCCTGCAGCTGCCTTGAGAGCACAGGACGTGGGGGCAGAGCTGTGCAGGACACGCGTTTTAGGCAAGGAACGACTGCCGAGGGCGGCTCTGGTGGGCCAGCGTGGACGGCTCTGGCAGGCCAGCATGCACGGGGCCCTGAGGGCACTGCCCCCACCTCTGCCCCAGGCCAGAGCTGGGGCACGGCGATGCTTTTCTCTAACGCGCAAGCAGACATGCCCCTCGCTAGTTAGGATTTGTTCGCACGGTGCGATGAGGACCATTCATCATTATGCTCTTTGACAAAGGAACCCCACAACTGGGAAACCCAGCCTCGCAAACATCAGAAAAGGCCAAAAATTTAGCCCTAAAGCTGCTTCAAACTGCAGCCTCTTTTCTAAGTGGGAACCACCCAACTGCCCAGCAAATTACTGCGCTTTTGTAAACGTCAGGCTGGTGTTTACGTTGGTTTTTCTTCTGAAATGGTAATGGCTTTGCTTCCCTCATGTAAAAGCTGATGTGAGTCTCTGAAACTTTAATCAGTAAAAACAATTTCACGAACATGAAAAGCTAAAAAATACCCAAATTCTGCCTCTTGCAATAACTGGTTATCAGCATCAGACTACTGCACACACGCACACACATGCACACACGCACATGCACATAGGCAGAGGGAGGGAGCTGACCTCCACCTAACCCTGACTGGGGCCAGACACCCCACCAAAGACTTCAGTGCAGGTGCCACAGAACCCAGGAGTTGCGTGATGGCCACAGAAAGCTACACTGTCCTTTATCAGATCAGATCCATCCCACTTGGTTGAACCTACAGACTGCTTGTCTACCTTATATTTTAAAAAATTTAACATTTATCATTATGTAGGACTGACAGAAGGTAATATGGGTAACGTGTAACCTAATATACCATGAAAGTTAATAAAACCCTGCTTTGTCAATACTTAGAGAAAAAATTACATTAATCTTTAAAAACCTAAGATAAATACCCAGGAACAACATAATTCTGTTCCGTGGGACGGCTGGACCAAAGACTAACACCCAATGGTTTAAATAATAAAGCTGCTTTAGTGACACACAAAAACTACTACAGTAAATGGCAAATTGAAGAGAGCAGGGAACAAAATTCTGTGCACGTTGTGGCCCCAAGTGTGTTAAGAGGCAACAACAGGGTTGTGTTGTGAGCTGTGCCTGGCCTGCGTGTGGGGTCCCGCCCCGTCCGGAGCTGCGGTCACCTGGCAGAAAGCCTCGTGCCGTTGGAGGTGGACACCGATGTGACGAACACCCCTCCGATCGATCCCTGAGCCATCTCTGAGAAGAGAAGAAAACGCAGCAAAGGTCACAGGTGGAGGCTCGCGCTGCAACCAGGCGGCCACAGGCCGGACGGCCGGTCCCCTGAGCACCTTCCTCCCCAAGAGGGACCAACCGTGACTGCCGGCTTGAGTGGGTGTGCCAGAGTGTAGCCAGTGCCAGGGACTTGTCCAGGGCCCTGGGGGGCGGCAGGTGCCCGGCGGTCCAATCCAGCCCAGCACCTCTGGGGGACAGCCCCCACCACAGCTCTTTCACCACAAAGCCCCTTCCCTCTGTGGCCACGGCCCTGGTGCTCAGCAGAGA